AAAAAGAGACTGCTTTCCAGGACTCACACAAGAAGAAAAAAAATCACTTATCAAAAGCACACTGTACACTAAAGCTATTCTCATTTCTGTGCTGAACTGAAGAGAAATAAGTGCCATTTTGGGATGAGGCAGAGATGTGATGTATTATAGAAACAGAGCCCTTGAGCCTGGGGAACACTGGTAAAGTTCACCATATGCTCAAGTTAGGGTTTCCATCAAATTAATAAATGGCCATTTGAAAATTTCATTGGTGAAAAAAGGGATACTTCCTCATTCTCTGTCTTTCCCTTATTTCCTGATCTGTGAGCAGAAGACATTTGCCAACAGGAGCACTACTTGCTGAAGCCCTTTAGACAAGCACCAGCCATTCCCTGGTCTTCATTTCTTGCCAGAATCCTTCTATCCTGACTTCCATAAGACACTCTTGTCTCACTCTATTGCTTCCACTCTTTTCAGGATGGTATCACCTCAGTGAGACATGTCTTTCCTCTCCTATCAAAGGAAAACAGACCTAGTTTCTTTAACCTTTCAGCAAATTCCCCAAATCTCTCTGTCATTCTAGTTGCCTTCTGCTATGCCTTCTCTAGTTCCAAGATATCCTATTTATAGAAAGAGACCCAGAATGAGCTCAGGGCTCATCATATGACCTAACCAATTCTCTTTACATGACTAGAATAGTTTGCTCCGACTTCTCTTCCATTCTGCAATTTATTCAGTGTATCTCAAATGGAGCATATCATTCTTCTTTTATTCCAGTACATGTTAAATGACAAATATTCAAACTCTAAGCCAGTACTATTTCTTAGGAGAGACTGATGTTCATGACAATCAAGACAATTTGAGAGCTAATAAGTTTGAGAAGGGGTTAGAGCCCGTAGTTTATGCAGAATTAAGATTTAAAAATCAGAGGTTTTTTTTTTTATTCCTTGATTTTTTTTTAAACTGTGTGACATTCACTCCAGTTACTCAAGAGATTTCTTAGCTGTCAATCACACCATAATGTGAGTGAAACCATTGCCTGGAAGAACATGCTTTAGCACTCAACTGTGCAAAACAATGCAACCCTGTCACCTGGAAATTTGTTGAAAATGCCAAATCTTGGTTCCTATCCCAGATTCAGACTCTGCTTTCTAACAAGCCGCCAAGTAGATTGGTGTGTATATTAAATTATGAGAAGCACAGTTCAGCAGCTATGAGATCTTTCCTCCAGATACTGCAGGCAGAAGAGAGCTCAAGTGTCTCTCTTGCTCGGCCCACTGCATTACAGTCAGTCTATGTTCCTTGCTGGTTTTCATTCGCCTTTCCATGATCTTAACTCTGGTAATCCATCTCTTTATATTTCCTTTTATTTACCCCATACCTGTAAGATGATTTTAAGAATAGTCACTCAGGCAGGGCAGTGGTGGCACACATCTTTAATCCCAGCACTTGGGAGGCAGGTAGGTAGATTTTCTGTGAGTTCAAGACCAGCCTGGTCTACAGAGCAAGTTCCAGGACAGGCTCCAAAGCTACACAGAGAAACCCCGGCATTGAAAAAAAAAAAAAAAAAAGTCACTCAGCTCAGGCTCCAAATTCCATGTGGTCTTATTTCAGCTTCACTGGGAGGTTGTCTGGTTTTCTGAAACTGAGTTAAGTCATATTTAAATCTTCTATCTCGGGCTTAGTTGTCAAGCTGAGGAATACACCAAAGCTATTCTAGACTAAATGATGAGTTTCCAAAATCTCTCTCTCTCTCTCTCTCTCTCTCTCTCTCTCTCTCTCTCTCTCCCTCTCTCTCTCTCTCTCTCCCTCCTCTCTTTCTCTCTGTTGTGTGTGTGTGTGTGTCCCCTTGATGCTTTGATCATTTTCTTTCCAGCTAAACTAGATTTGGTAGATGGAAGATTTCGTGAGTTCTTTTTAAATATGAGCTCAACACCAGGTTCTTGGCAATCATTACCCATTCTTGTTTTCAGAAAGCTTTCCAAATTGTGCATCGTGATTCTCTGCCTCTCCTTCTATTGCCTGTGGAGAACCATTAGGGATCAGGAAGTGACTAAGAGAGCCAATCTTTCTTCCTACCTGGACAGAATCACTTCTTATGTCATAAACAGAAATTTTTTTACCTGTTTTCTTAGATTCCAAGTCAGCAACTCTGCTACCATCTAAAGCCTCTGCGTGGCCACTGTCTTGAGTTGATTATAACTAGCAATCTTGAGGTAATGAATAAGATAAGGGAACATTGAGGGAAAGAGAGGGGGTACTTTATTATCTTACAGTAATTAACCAAGAGCTCAACTCTGAGATTCAAGGATGCTTTAAGAAATTATTAATATATGGTTCAGTAGCCCTTATCATTCTGCCTGCCACAGAGTAAGCACAAGAGGAAGGAATAAAATTAGTAGTAAGAGAGAAAGAAGAAAATAAGACCTCAAACACAGGGTGAAATGGAGAACTCATCAATAACAAAAAATTGATTTGGTGAAAATACTTGGGAGGAAAAAACATGAGTGTCATCTCATCCACTCCCACATGGACACACTAGAGAAGTTCCTAGCCCATCACTTGGAATGTGGTGTTGTAAATTTCCATTTAGAAACCAAGATATTTCAAAAGATATCCAAGCATCTCTTAATTTGCTAAGGAAAAAACATTTCTTTCTCATTCTGGTTACCCATTCCCACTAATTCTAAGGTGCTTGAAACATCTATTCAACTGTGTTCTCCTACTGTCTACTTTGGGAGAGCTGTTATTCATTTTTGTGCTTATCTTTATACAGGGACAAACAGATAGAAGACAAGCTTCTTAACTGTGGCATTGGTAGAAGATCATGTGAACATAATGCAAAAATCCTTCCTACTAGATTATGTTCATATTTCACTTTAAATTTAACTGCATTTTCAGATTGTGGTAGTTCAGACACATTTGTTTAGCATTTACTTTGAAATGGTCCTATCATTGCTAAAAATGAATGGGGTTAGATGAACTTGGAGATGTGTGATATTCATATCACAGCTGACTAGAGCTGTGTGGGAAAAAAATGACATGACCACAGAAACAAGCACTCCCAAGATTAAAATTGTAGCAGGTACACTGGTTGGCATCTGTTTTAGCAAATAAAAATGACTGCAATCTTTGCTTGTATTAGGTACTGAATTTCTACAGATGGAAAAGAGAAAAGGAATTATATAAGGAATTTGAGCAGATAAAAACCTGGAGAGCTGATTATGAACCAAGAGGAAAGGATTCTTCTCGTTGAGGTCACTGAAAAATCAAGAAAGGAAAATACGCACATGTATAGTCATTATACATATACATATCATATTTATGTAGGTCCGTTATCATCTCTTCACTTTTCTCAACAACTCACTACAGTAAATCTCATTATATAATAATTCTCATCACTCAGCTTGGTCCATAAGTCTTATTACTTCTTAATAATAGACCCAAGCAAGAAAGGTGGAAAAATATTCCTGTGGAAATATTTTCAGTACAGTCCTGTGCTGTGTAAATAATTCAAATCTAATCACACAATCATATTTTGAATCCAGAAATGCCTAAGCCATCAATTTAGTGTACCCCTAAAACATAGCATTAATTTTCAGAATAAAAAAATCCATTAGAGAGGACTATTCCCTACAGAAGCCAGAAACAGTTGACAAAGTCAGACAGATGACAATAAGAAAGAAGTATGTCCCATGTCACTGTAAGATTTCAGACCAGCCTGAATTCATCAACAGGCAAGAGAGCTTACTAGCAGCTTTATAAATAGCCTTCTTAGTAAACTGGCTTTGCCCACAAAACCTGTACCCCAAGACCTCTGAGAATGGTTTCTGCCAGGCTGTGCTAGTCTTAGGGCAGCATCTGCTGGTTAATTCATGGATGGACAAAAGTGACAATTTGTGAACAATATGAACAGTTCTTTTAGTAGGCGATAGCTGTTGCCTTGGTGACTGTAATGGTGAAAGGTCATCTCTTAATGATGATCACCCCAAGTCTCCAGGAGCCTGGCAAGTCTACGAGGTCAAGAAAGCCTTTGTATAAATGTATGTTTGCTGGAGCCTAAGATGGGCTGGGTGGGCTTTGGAGACATCTCTCAAGAGCTGCATATGAATACTAAATACGGGACTTACTACTAATACTAATAATCCAGTACCAATGGAGGTTCCAAGAACAGAAACCCACAGATGGAGTTAGGAAGTAAGCTTAGTTTCCTTAAAAGAAGCATTCTTGGGGGTGGGGGTGGTGAACCTTGAAGCAGCCACTGCGTGCTAATCTTCTAACATCCTATGCATAACTCTGGTTTTATTCACCAGGAAGTACGAATTCCATTCGAACACAGCACATCTGATTGGAATAAAGAAACTGAAAATTGAAAAGGACTGGGTGGTCTAAAACTTCAGAGCTCTCTACCATCTTCTGCAACATCCCCCTGTCTCATCGCTGCAGTCAATAGCGCCACAGCCAGGGCCAGTGACGCCGTTGGTGGGCTCCATTGGTGGGAACTCTGGAGGAGAGTAAAATCATGGTGTCGGTGCCAAAACGGCGAAACCTGAAAAGCGCCTGGGGACTTCCCAGGGCACTCGCGCTCCTCGGAGCTACGGGCATCTCCATAACAACTGGTTTACATTCATCCTTGGTTCCTCTGCTCCTCTGCGCAGGCGAAGCCGAGGGTAGGCTAAAGGAAGGCTCTGGTGAGAAGATACCTGGAGCTAGCGCCTCCCTACGTTGGGGGAAGTGGTTAACTCTGGACCTACAGTTCATTTCTAGAGATTTCCGGAGTTCTGCCCAGGACCTCAGCCCAGCGC